GTTCTCCTAAGGAAATGTTTTGGGCCCGTTGTAATTGTGGTTGCACCTGTCTGCCACTGTAGAAATGTTCTCTTTAAAAACCACACGATAAGATGTTGACTTTTATTAAGTCCCTCGTGGGGAAATTGTTTCTTGCATTCGACCCATCCTACGTGTTAGGATCAGTGTGCTGCCATTTTGAACGCACCAGGGACACCTCGGCTAGCACGTTGGTCTTGAAGCTGGTTGACCTTCCAGTTGCCCAAGCCAACTCTCCTATCGACTTCGCCACCCACCGCCCTAATAAATAAATTATACATCGCCGCACTTTTTGCCACCCCACTGAATTTAGACATAGCCTGTTTAGACGACACGAATTCACTTGGAAAAGTAAATCCCAAACCGCAAATGAACCCCCGCAAATCCTCAAATGGAAAACGACCAGCTCTTGTACCGACTCCCATTACATTTTTGGCATATCAGTATGAGAATACATTACTCCAAGGGCAAAATTAAAACTCTTGCTTAAGCAACCCCCCCCGCAGCAATTCAATTTCTGTGCGCGCTGGAAATCACTTCCCTGACTGCACTGGCCAATCTCTCCATATGAGTGGAGAGATTCCACTCCCGTCTATTTCTGAAAGTCTTAATAGATGAACCCCACACTTGCCATGCTCAGGATAAGGAGTCGCTTGAGTGTGCGGTTTTTGAAGTGTTTACCACGGACTCAGACTTCCTTCCTTACATTACAATACCCCCCCTTCCAAATGTCTTAACCCTTCATTTCCTTGCCAGCCGATTCTAATTTGTAACAAAACAGCATTAGAATTCACGGTTTCTGCTGGAATTTCCCTTTAGTCACGGCATGTTTCATATAACGGATTGAATTCAGGTCATTAGCAGCATTTAGGTCCCGGTCATTCGAAGGATTCAACGCCGCCCTGCCCCCAAACTCGTCCCGTTCCCCTGCCCCGCCCGCCCGCGGCTCCCCGCGCGCCCGCGGTCGGCACTTAAGGAGATGACCTAAGGGAAGAGGGTGTTGAATTGTTGGCCTTGGCATCTTTTTATGAACCTTGTTATCAGCTGCTAGTCATACGCGCACTCTGTTTATGCTTTCCTTCATGATTATTAACGAGCTCGTAGGCTTTGCTGCCATTTTCATTCATAGGCCTGTTCAATTTGTGCAGAGCCAACTCATCAGCTACACTGCACTGTGTGAGTTGCTTATGTGCATCGCGCGGTGTCTCTCGTGTCCTTCCGAGAGTCCGGATCCCCTCCAATTTCAGATGCAGCGACTTCTTCTCTGCTCTCCGACTCCCACGGTGAATACAGAGCTCGCCGCTGATGGCATTTGGTTTGTTTAGAGCGAGCAAAGTGCACGGGGAAACGGAGCCTGGTAGTTGTTTCATCTAATTCTATTTTTCGTTTTCAAGTGAGCGCAGGGGGAAAGGTTTGGAAACATGCCTGTACTTTGTTGACCACCAATATCCTTCACTTACTCAGCGGTGATTTAACGTACAAACATTTAGGAACCGTCACATGGCTCATCCACTCGCTCTTGGAAATGCTGCTCTTCATGGAAAAGATCCCAGCCCCATCTTATTGATATATTTTTAGAAATGCATTTCCAGCAAATGACCGATGTCTATTTATAACCGATTCGATGGCTGATCACTGGGGCACAATCAGGCCGGTTTGCCGATGTAGCCGAAGCTGCATGTTGTGTTGATTGTTCTCTTTATTATTGCTTGATGATTGCTTCAGACAGTGAGTCACACACCCACACAGAACACACACACACACACAACACACACACACACACACCACACACACAGCACCACACACACGCACACACCAGCACACCCACACAGCACACACACACACCACACACACACACACTCTCTTTCAACTCCTTCAAAATGTGTAATCTAGTGTGTGACCGTACCGCTCCCGAGGAGTCATCGTCTGTTTAATCTAACTTGGCTCCTGAGGTTTGAATCCTCCCCTTTCTGATAACTCTGACTCCAGCTTAGAATAACACTGAACACACCAGATCTTATTCAATGACTATAATATAATAATAATCATCATGCCTCTCCTCCTCCTGTCCGAGGCCACCCTGGCATGAAACACTGCCTCCGATATATCGTTATGTAATTATCCCCGTGCCCGCAGATGGCAAAAGTTCGATTAAAGTTTTTTTCAAGAAAATTACGCTTTGTGCCCATTTCTGCGACAACAGAACATGTAATACACCGCCCTGAACATTTCGAAGCTTACCGCATGGCTGCGGAGGGCGCCGCCCGTGAAAGGGTTTATCAAGTATTGGTGTTCAACGCCCAGAGTGTGCCAATAAGATATAGTGTAACAGATTGTCTGTCGGAAGATACTGTTAGCACTGATGCCTGCCTTCCCACGGGATCGCCACCGATAAGAGGAGGTATTTCTAAGAGTTCTTTCCCCCATGACGCCCTATCAGATCGTAGCTCACCTTCCTGTGTTGAG